GCAACCAGAAGGATTCATAGTTAAGGGCCAAGAACACAAGGTTTGCAAGTTGGTTAAATCATTATATGGCCTAAAGCAAGCCTGGTATAGTGAAAGGACGTCAAAGACGCTGTCCTAAAGCCTTTGTAGCCTCCCTACGTGCAGGTAATGACGGTCTACAAGACTCCAAGATACGACCCCAATACGCAGGCTTAAGGTCCGCTAGGAGCACGTTCACAGTCGGATAGAGATTTCCAAGCCACAGAACCGTTGCCCACAAATAATATAGAAAGTAGGGAATATATGAAAGTATGAGAATAGAGAAACCTGATTGTGGTGTGTTGAAATGTGAAGGAGGATTGGCCTTTTATAGGCATCCAATACTCGTAACCTCCAGACACATTTAACCAGAAAAGTTGGTGCAATGAATAGAAAATAAAAACTGAAAATTAAGCAATTTGTAACTCCCATAATAAATAAAAGAAAACAGCCAAAATTAAAACAGAAAATAAAACATTAAAATTTAAAATCCTTTCAAATAATAACAGAACCAAACACTTGTAGGTCAACAAATCAAGCCAAACATCCCTCAAAACATAGCACTCTCGAGATTCACTAACAGATCCAGAATTAACCCAACCAATACATCCAAAGGACAGCAGCCAACAAATAAGGAATGAGAAAACCCATTCCACAACCAGGAGGAAAAGAACCAAGAATCTGGAAGGAGGTGGTGCAAGCACCCGAGCTAGAGCTCTACACACCTTCCAATAAATACGCGCCAAAACGCGTTTAAAATTTGCAGCTGCAAACCAAGGGTGATGCCAGATCAAAAGGAAGGTGAAGGAATCCAGATGAGCCATGGATTTTGGGTCGGTATGGAGCAAGACCTCTGAAATTTGACCTCAGGCACGGGCAGTCCCCGAGAATGAATAGATCTGAGTAGATCTAAACAGGAGCACCAAAATTAGAGCCCACCACCGCATAGACTGCCGATGGAACAACTAGACAACCACGAACCCACCAAGATCAGCCACCAGTTGCAGTAGAAAGGAGGGTAAGGAGAGATCTGGGCCAAAACCAAACTAGAACAAGGCAAGAGAAAAGTGCGTGAAAAAAAAAAAACCGCAACAGGGGTAGAGAGAGACAATAGAGAGGAGGGTTGTGAGGAAGGGAAGGGAGGGGAAACGGAATGGGTTGGAAAAATGAAAATGGCCACCAACCCCCAAAGGGGGCGGCAGCTGAGCTTTCAGAGAGAGAGAGTTTTCTTTTAGCTAGGGTTTCAAAGAGAGAGAGTTTTTTTTTCATGGAGATGAGAGCTTCCGGAGAGCCTTGGTTCCATTTTTTGGTCATTGGGATAGTCTTCTGTAGGTCTTTTTGTCGTGAATGGATTTCTTGGATCAAATGCCCACAAGTATTCGATCAAATGCCCATTAAGTGTTTGATTAAATGCTTCAATATTGGTGATATCAATGCAGCGAGAGCACAATTTATTGTTATTGACAGGACCCGCCCCAAATTTCTCGAAATCCGTGACGAATCCTGTGGATTTTCCGACATCCACCCGATGCCAGGCCCACTTACTAACATTATCCTCTTCTCCAAAAACAAAGGAAAAGAGGGTCGAGACTTTCTACCAAAATTTCGGCAGAGTCTCCCATAAAAATGGACATTTGCCAAATTATTTTCACCTATAAAAATAAGGCTTATTTACTGTAGTACCCCCTGAAACTTTGGTCAAATCTCACTTTACCCCCCCAAAGTTAAAATGACTCACTTAACCCTCTTGACCGTGGTTTTGTGTTCCACTTTACCCCCCACCGTTATCTCCGTTAATAACTCTGTCAGTTTTGATGAAGTGGCATGGCTATTTTAGTCTTTTTGCAACAAGTTCTGATGTGTCATATGAAGAGCCCACTTTTTTTTTCCTTAAGTGGAATAAAAAAAAAATTATTTGAAGAAGTAGAATAAAATAATGTAATTCTTTTTTTTCTTCTTTTACTTTTTTCCTTTCTTTCTCTCTCCCCATATGGATCTATCTGGTTCTCTTTCAAATTCAATCCTCATCCTCAACAATAACAAAATCTTTTAGTTATTCACACCCAAACCCAAAAACTCATAAACTCAATTCACCAATTTCCCCCATAAACAACTCCCAAAAATAATGAAAAATATGATTTTGGCCCTTTTGATTAGCCTCTTGTTTGCTTTGTCAAATGGGTATGGAGGAACCAAGGTTGGAGGCAGGCGACAGATCGAAGACGTGAAGACGAACAAGGAGGTTCAAGAGTCGGGGAGGTTTTCGATGGCGCAAGACAACCAGAGCCAGCGAAAGAGTCACCAGAGCAATGTCGGCAAAGAGATTCAGTTCTTGGAAGTGGTGGAGGCGCATAGGCGGATGGTTTCTGGGATCAAGTACTATCTCAAGGTCTTTGCCGTGAAGGTGGTGAAGCTCGAAACAGAGAAAGAAAAAGGGAGAGATAAAGAGAGATAGGGAGGATTTGTTGGGGAGGGGGTTGGGTACAGAGAGAACGAGGGAGAGAAGAGAGAAGGGGAGGGGAGAGAAATATCTAAACTTTTTTTTTTCTATTTGTTATATTTATTAAAATAAAATATTTTATTATTTTTTTACACATGGCATACAAGAGTGGGTCCTATTTGTGCCATATCAGCGTTTTAACAGAACTTTTTAACAGAGTTAACAGTGGGGGGTAAAGTAGAACACAAAACCACGATCAAGAGGGTTAAGTGGGTCATTTTAACTTTCGGGTGGTAAAGTGAGATTTGACCGAAGTTTCAAGGGGTACTACAGTAAATAAGCCTAAAAATAATTCCATAGTTTAAAATTTTCCCCAAACTTCAGCATGCACAGTCTACCATCCAGGCACAGTCATAAAAAGTTGAAAAGACTCAATCCACCCTCATTCATCAGTCTAACACGAGTTTCAGCCTCGTCACAACCACAACACTTTTTAACCACATCCTTTTAGTAAAAATTAGAATATAAACAGGCATTTAAACTCGCCTAAGTTCCAATCGGGCTTCAGGCCACTGACAAATTCAAAACCAAACTTAATAAATCTAATAAATAGGATATGATCCCTATGACCAAATTAAAGTCCAGAAATATAATTGATCTTGTGGCTGCACCTAGGTAAGATCCCAGGCTATCTATGTACCCTTACTGAGAGATCAAGCCACACGTAGTTCTACGATCAATAATCACCAACTAGATAACATACAATTATTTTCAATAATATCAACAAGTAAATTTAAGAATCATCTTTTCCCTTTAAATAAAATCGTAATATCTCAACCCAAGAACAACAGACCCATTTTTCTTTACTCACTCTATACTTAAGACTCATAACTCAACAACCCTATCCCTTTAACACTGCACTTAAGCTATGCACAATTCTTTTAAACATTACTCTTAACTCAACAACCCTATCCCTTTAACACTGCACTTAAGCTCTACGCAACGATGCCACTAAATTCCCCAAAATCCTTCTTGAACAAAAAGTGACTAAAGTGCCCCTACACCCAAGGGCAAAAATGTAATTTCACCCAAAAAAAATATTAATTGAACAGTGATTTTGGGACGGGGTGTTATAATTTAAGTGTATCTAAACAGCCCCAAAATCACCAAAACTGTCCCAGCAAGCCTCTCTTCCATTTCCCTACGAATTTAATCTTTTTGCATTCATTATGTTTTCTCATTTCTGTTTAGGTTTTTTTTCCATTATGAGTAGCTAAATCCATAATTAGGGTTTTGATGTAAGCTAACATAAATATTCTGGGTTTATAAATTTCAAGTTTCAAGTTTTATTCATGATTCATGTTCTTATTCATTATGCCTACCTGCCTATATGCTAATCGGAATGCCAAGCTACCATTCAGATTTGTGTATTTTGGTTGAAACTGAAGTAGACACCTCTTTGTTACACCTCTTTTAGACTTGTTACTTCAATTCTTATAACCTAGAATTGGATTGTAATGGCGAATCAAATGTCCTAGTCTAAAAATTTGTTTTTCAACCCTTAGGACCACTCTTTGTTACACTTGTTTACTTACTTTCGTTTGAAATTTCATGCTGTTTGTTTGTTTTCACAATCACAAGCACTCTCTCTCACTTCAAATTCCAATTCCATTTTGCTTCATTTGTTTTGACAATCACAACCACTCACTTAAAATTCTGTTTTAGACTTAATTTTCTATTTTCTTAAATTTGGTAATCTAAGTACATAATTAAGTTTAACTTCTCAATCCTCATGAGTATGACTTCGTACTTGTCTTGCTATACTACTAATTGGCCTTTATAATTGCGAGTAACACAACACGAATGAAAGAGTAGGAGGAACTAATTGCCTAAAAAACCAATGATGACATACATGGACTTAGAGCTAGTTTGTTATTGCTGTGCTGTAAAAAAAAATTATTTATGCTGTGCTGCAAGAATAAACAACTATAAAATAAAGTAGCTATGTGCTCCCTACTTGAGTTCCAATTTCCCAACTCATAATTTAAATTCAATTAAAGAGAATATCGCTTGTAAAACAAATAAAAAATTATCAAATTAAAAATAAAATATAAGTTCAAGGACCAATGAAGTTAAAAAGCCTCCAAAAAAATAAAGTTAAAAACCCTAACTCTGTTTTCAAAACACAAATTGAAAAGAAAAGAAAAAAAAAGAAAAAGAAAAAAAAAGGTAAAACTCCGTGTTCCCCCGCGCGAAGAACCCTTTGAGGCCTCGCTTGCCCTTACTCGTGGTATCTCAGTCAGCCAGCCTTATCGTCTTAAAAGAGAAACATCGTAGAAGTTATGATGCATTGGGGTTTCCTTGCTCTGAAGGTTTATTGCAGAAACTGTGCTCTTTGATGAACTGGGTGCTGAGCTTCTCTCTACCCAAAACCAGTCGTCTAATTTGCCGCGGCCTTCACTTGGGTAAGCAATTCTCAAGCCCAAGTTCTGAGAACATTATTTTTAGAGCAATTTGTGTTAATCTCAAACAGAGGAGATGGAAATTTCTAGAGCAGATATCACCCACTCTTACCAATTCCTTAGTAAGTCGTGTTGTTCTCGAGTTTCGAAACTCCCCACAGTTGGGTTTAGAATTTTACAATTGGGTTCGAGAGAACAAGAGCTTTCCTCACTGTTTAGAATGTTCTTGTACTGTAATTCATGTGTTGGTCCATTGTAGGAGATTTGATGATGCCTTGTCTCTTATGGAGAATCTAATGATTGCAGATGGTCTGCATCCATTGGATGTTTTGGAAGGGTTGGTTAGTAGCTATGATGAAGCTTGTGGTTGTTCAAGCCCTGCAGTGTTTGATGCACTTGTGAGGGGTTGTACTCGATTCGGGCAGACCGAAGGTGCTTATGAGGTAATTAAGAAGCTGAGGATGGATGGTTATTGGGTTACGGTTCACGCTTGGAATAACTTTCTTAATCATGTACTGAAGTTGAATGAAATTGCTAGGTTTTGGAAGCTGTATAAAGAAATGGTTTCATATGGGTATGTTGAAAATGTCAATACCTTCAATTTGGTTATTTATGCTCTCTGTAAGGAATGCAAATTACTAGAAGCAATGTCGGAATATTATCGTATGTTGAAGAGTGGAATTTGGCCTAGTGTTGTTACTTTTAACATGATTATAGATGGAGCGTGCAAGATGGGTGATATGGAACTTGCCTTGAAGCTTTTGAGGAAGATGAGAGTAATGTCGGAGGAGTGTGTTACGCCCAATTCAGTTTCGTACAATTGTATCATTAATGGGTTTTGCAAAATTGGTAGTTTATCTTTTGCAGAGGAAATCCAAGTTGAAATGACCCAGGCAGGTGTTGAGTCCAATTTGAGGACTTATGCAACTCTAGTAGACGGGTATGCAAGAGGAGGGAGTTTGGAGGTGGCACTTAGATTGTGTGATGAAATGGTGGAAAGGGGTCTGACCCCTATCTCTGTTGTTTACAATTCAATTATCCATTGGCTTTGCAAAGAAGGAGATGTTGAGGAAGCATGTTTGTTATTTTCTGACTTGATTGACAGGCATATATGCCCGGATCAATTTACCTACTCAATCCTCATTAACGGGCTCTGCCGAAATGGGCTTGTGACTGAAGCACTAAGATTCCATAACCAAATTCTTGAGAAAAGCCTTGTCAAGGATGTTTTTTCTCATAATATCCTCATCAATTATATGTGCAAAAACAAAAACTTGATAGGGGCCATGCAATTGTTGGGCAGTATGTTTGTTCGTGGTCTACTTCCTGACACTGTCACCTATGGAACCTTGATTGATTGGTACTGCAAAGAAGGAAACATAGGAAGTGCAGTTCAAATTTATGGCAAACTGATAGATGTGCAGAAAAAACCTAATTTGGTGATATACAATTCCGTCGTAAATGGGTTATGCAAAGAGGCATCAGTGGATATTGCAAGAAATTTGATGGATGCATTACAGAGGATAGATTTTCTTGACATTATAACCTATAACACATTGATTCATGCATATTTAATCTATGGGAAGATTGATGAGGCATTTTTTTTGTTTCGGGAAATGGAAGAGGTTGGGATTTCATTCAATAGAGTCACTTACAATATATTGATCAATTTTTTGTGCAAGTTTGGGTGTTCTCAACAAGCAAAGGAACTTATGAAGGTAATGATTTCTAGGGGTATGGTTCCTGATTTTATAACATACACCACTCTTATTACCAATTTCAGTAAGAATTGCAGCCCAGAAGAAGTCATTGAATTACATGACTACATGGTGATTAAGGGAGTAATTCCTGATAGACAAACGTACAAACATGTTGTCTGTCCATTTCTTCTAGAAGAAAATGAAAATGCAAAGATTAGCACACAGAATTGAGTTTCGACAGTACAACGATGCGTATATTTGTCCTCCATCGTCCACTATAGCATGTGTTTTCGGCCAGTTGGTCCATAGAGAATGTGCTGGGCTTTCCAAAGTAACAAGAATCACACATTTATTCAACATTGTTTCTATCAGGCATGTAAGTTTTCTTTTTCTAGTATACTAATTTTTTATGCTACTCTAGTCTACAGACTACATCCATATAGATAACATATTGTAACCCTTGGCATATCAAGCCACGCACATATAAATTGTTTGTTCAAAATTGTGTGCAATACTGTTTCATCCTTTGGTTGATATTCCGGAGCTACTTACAACTCAGCAGTCATTGACAAACTTCTAGGCTTAGATATTCTGGTTTGGTGCTTCATTAGTTTTTTATGTATTAATTTGGGGTTCTTTCATGTGAGACATGCATAAGTTGCAATGTCTCATGTGGGTGCTTGTTTATAGGTTTAAGTTATTTCTGGTAAATTTTCTGTTTCTTGTGCAGTTGAGATTTTTTGTTTACTAGAGTTCAGTGAGGGTTAAAACCAATAACTGCGATGATTTCAAGGGTTGGATGTTGTTTTCGAATATCTCGGTTATAAGCAGATCAATTTTTATGGTTGGTCTACTTTTAATTTGTATGTTATTTTTGAGAAAGAACAACAAATTATTTTGTTCAAGCATTTCACGTCAACTAAACTACCGAGTTTAGTGTTTTATATGGAATTTGTGGTTTAAATGTACTTATTGCAAACTGGAAATTCATTAAAAAGCTTGCAAGATTGGTAAATCACGAGTTACTTCAATTACTGGGCTACTGTTAATAGACTATTATAGTCTTTACTAACAAAGAGTGGATGACGAGGCAGTTATTTCTGTTGAGCATCAACTATAGCTCACACCTTAAAACTTGTGGATAAAAATGTCTTCCTATTGTCTTGATTTTTACTCTTTGCACCTACTTGTCTCCTGCCGTAGCTAATTGGTTTTGTACTATCTGCAATGAATTTGAGTCACAAGATTAAACTTTGAAATTTTCCTTTCTGTTTATTTTTCCTTTTATAATAATAAAAGAGATGATTTGTATAATAAATCAGAATCATTGGCTTTGGTATTTATTTATGTGTTTTGGTGAACACGCTAGATTTGGTTTTTGCATGGACCTAGGTTAATTATGGTATAGAAAGGATTCAGCTGTTACATACTCTAGGAATATGTTTAAGAGGATTGAAGGTGATGACGTGGTCAGAGACATTGTAAGGGTCAGTACTTTGACTTCTTATCTTGTGTCGATAAATGTGCTAGTATTCATATAATAATTCTTCATACTCTTTGTCTAAGTTTTCTCACTGATATGGCCCTCTGGCATGTAGGTTGCACAAAGTTATTTGCAGAGCTCAATGAACTGCGTGGTAGTTTTAGGGTATTTTCATTCTTCATTTGGTGTATTTTATGCAAGAGTGCGGGGGAGAGTGGATCATGTTTTCTTATCCTGCCGGTTTAGCTGGAAATTATGATGTTTCTATTTAATGAGATTAATGTTAGTTAGGTGGCGCCACAACACTGTTTATCTTTTCTGGGTGAGAAATCTAAAGTATTGGGTGGTGGAAAGAATGCTAAAGTAAGACGGGGCTGTATGATGATGGCTATCATTTAAGCTATTTGGTTGGAATGAAACCAACATCTTCGAAGATTTTAGGTGGATGGAAGTGGAGGAGGTGTGGGGAAGGTCAAGTATTGGGCAGCACTTTGGGCACCTGTACAGGAACACTTCTATTTCTGTCATTGTTCTAGACTGGAAAGCTAAAGTGTCATGAATATGTTTAGATATGTTAAACTAGATGTAGCTTGAATTGTTTTTTTTCTCTCATAGATTCTTGGTGGATTGCTTATCCTCATTTCTGCACAGTTTCTCTTGTGAAATAAAATTACATCGTTTCATTTCAAAACTAAAAAATAAAATATTCATGTTTGATGGATAAACTTGGCTCTGACCTTCGATGGAATTTTTTTTTTTTCCAGAAACAGTTTTCAAATGTTGGTGATAGTTGTTGAACTTTAAAGAAAATTTTGTTTTCCCTTTTGGATTTATGATATCCTCCATTAGAAGACATGAACTTTCTGAATCTGTCTAGGCTTGTAATTGATTGACCCAAATAGGTTAATTGATCTTTGAAGATGACGATTTGCATTTTCTTTTCACAAATGTTCCATTATCCATGCCGTGAATTTTCATTGGGATTCTTGCTTTTGTTTTCGTAATTACTTCTCGAATTATAACTTTATGCTATGTTCATTTTCTTATCTGTTTTTTTAAAATTTTTGTCTCATACTTTGTTGTTTGGTTGCTTTTCGAAACAGTAAAAGTGCTTCCTACAGCTCATGACAGATGGAGACTAATAGAAAATTCATTAACGTTGTGATAGTGATTTGTGAAGCTGTAAAAATTATAGAATACAGGGAACAAGTACTGAAAATTCAATGCATCTGCTGTACTGCAAGGTCCTCTGCTGATTTTGTTGTGAATGGTACGTATACTTTGACCAGCTTTAGTTTTGTAAAGACAGAGAATTCTCTCTCTTTATGATTCTTGGTTTAAACCTAAAGTGAGTGAAATTTTGTTCATGCAGGTGCTTGAGTTCAAGTCTTGAAGAAGGGGAGGCTGCAAAACTTGTATTGGAATTGGATGGCTACTGTAACTTTGTCAACAATTAGGATTCTGCAATCAAGACATCCAACTGCAAGAGGGAGGCTACTTGGAAATATTCCTGCAGTAAATAATAAAGATAACACCGTTAACATGGAGTAAATTTTTGAGGGTGTGGCTAGGAGGAATATTTTCACTGATTAAAAAACATTAAAATTTAAAATTTAAAGGCAAAAAGTCACTTTGGCCCTTGTAGTTTGTTTTCCATTTTGGTCCGTGTGATTTTAATTTTGGCAATTGTACCCATGTAGTTTAATATCCTTGCAGTTGAAAGGGCACATCTAAATTTCCGTCCAATTTCTTGACACGATAACATGGAGGGATATTTTGGACGGAATTAGAAGACATCTTGATAGAATTTATAAAGTGCCTTTGAATTGCGAGAGATTTAAAATTATAGGCAAAATAGAAGGACCAAAAATGACTTTTTGAGCCCCTATCTTTTTACATGTGTTTGGGTGTAATGATTAAATTTTCTCTTTTTATGACAAAAAAAAGAAAGATTAAATGTTATTTTTTGTAGGGTTATTGATTGAAATAGTCTCCCAACTTTTTCTTCAATCTCATTTTGATCTACTAACTAAAATTTTCATTTCAATAGTTTCCCAACTCTCCATCTAGTATCAAATTAATCACATCATCGAAGTCTGTCAGTTTTGCAGTTAAATTCATCGGTAAAAGCGTCTTTTTGGGGCCCATCCAACTCCAGCGCAAACCTTGGTGCTGCTCTCTGGCTCTGCTGCTTCTTCACATGCTGAGCTTGTTGAGGCAAAGAGGAGTTCTTCCTCTTGCTGACGACTAATGTGATAAACTGAAAATCAGAATGAACAAAGTTGTGCGAGCTATCATTAATGGGTTTGTCTTGGAGACGTTGTGTCTATTCATCATTGCCCTTATGTCAAGTACGGAAACCAGGTTCACATCCTTCTAATTAATGATACAATTGAAGGTGTAAACAGGGTCAGTCTTGAGATTTTGAAGGCCCTGTGCAAACCTTAAACTGGGACCTCACAAACTTACACCATTACATAATGTCATACAATACATGTTTTTTTTCTTCTTAAAGTGACTAAAGTACCCCTACTTCCAAGGGCAAAATTGAAATTTCACAAAAGAATTGAATTTGATTAAATCGATTAAATTGGATCAGGGATGTTATAATCACCATGATTGTGACAATGAGTCTTTGTCATAATAGATCATATTCAGATATTAAATATTTTTTAACACCTAATTTATTTTGTATCAAAATTCCAATAACATCATTAATTGGATGCGACTTTTTTGGTTGAGTTAGTTGGATGCATTATTTTTGCAAAATTAAATATCTTTTTAACACCTAATTTATTTTGTATCAATATTCCAAGAACATCATTAATTGGATGTAACTTTTTTGGTTGAGTTAGTTGGATGCATTATTTTTGCAAAATTAAATATCTGAGCATATATAAAAAAAAATCGTGTACCACTTTACTAACCACATTTTTAATTGAGGTGAGCCCTATATATGGAAGTCTTATCTCTATGGGCACTTGAAAATAAAAAATCTACATGAGTAATTGAAGAGCTAGCGTCATGTCAATGATGGGGACGTACGCACGTGACAAGTAGTGTCTGCACATAGCTTAGTTGTTGGATCTATTTCAATGAAATCATGTGGTTGAGATTGATTTAAGTGTTTAAACTTGTTTGTGTCTAATGACTTGCCAAAAACCCACATGTACGTACGCTTTACTACGTAGCAAGGCTACTAGGCTACTGTAACTCGTCCACGTATTATAATATGGATGGGCAATATGGTTAATATTTCCCACTTTTATGATATAATATCAATAAATATCCACTTATATATTCTAACAAATGAGTTATACCAAGTGACATACTCTCATACTACGTACACTATAATTACTCACACTTAAAGCATCCACAATGGGGTCCCTAAACCACCTTCTTAAACAAATTTTAGGGAGGAATTGGAAAAATACAACTCCAACCATGCTCCCTATTCACCTCCTAAAATAGAGAGACCTCTAGGAACTCCTAAATCTGAGGAGAGAGAAAGAACTCCTAGTAGCTCCCTATAATTTAATGATGTTTCGTTTTATGCATAGTTTAAACTTTTAATTAATACAAACTATTTTTTTTTTTTAAAATTTTATAGAGATGATAACCAATCATATTGAATTAAAAAATAACTATAGTATTTATGACTTCCTAATTTAGGGAGTATGATTGGAGTTCAAATTTTTTAGAGTTCCTAAATAACTTTTGTGTGTTTTTAGCTAAATTTTAACTAAAGAATAAGGAGCATGACCTTTGCCTACATAATTACTGACTAATTCCTTGTGATCCGGTATTTATTATTTCAGTGTGTGGTTGTGAAAGTAGCTGGGATATTGAATGTTGGTGTTGACATTAGACAAGCTGCTTTAAACAGTGGTTGCAACATTATGTGATTGAGAGACAGCATAGCAGTTTTTATCTTTCAACGAAAACAATAAGTTTCTGTTGAGGCACAAAAAATCCATGGTTGGGCCCGAATAAATTCCTAGCCCAAAATGATATATTATTGAAAAAGGACCCGATTTGGAGTACATGAAAGTCTGTCATGCACAAGCCACACCCTGCATGCCATGCCAAATAAAAATCTGTCATGCTAGAAATTGAGATTAAAGTTATAAAGATGCATTTAGCTCTGCAAATCCATGCCAATTATCCTATCAAGTGTCATAATTAAAAGCATGTCAAACGACATGCCATGCCAAGCGACATGCCGTGCCAAGCGGGAAATTATTATTTCACACCCAATCGCACTACAAGCTTAAGTGGGCTCAAGCCACTCGAATGCCCGGGGCTTGCTTGAGTGGGTTGTGGTATGGATGGTAACGAGTTGTCATGGGGCCCATTGATGAGTCGAGAAATGGAAGTCTCGGGTCGCTTGGGGGCCTCGGGACTCAAGCCCATTTTCTTAGGCCCCAACATGGGTAAGCACAAGAGAGAAGATAGCCCATTGCTTCAACTAAAGTAGCCCAACCAAAATAGCCCATAGCTCCAATTGGAATAAGCCAACCAAAAAGCCCAACATTTGACAAAGCCATCTCATCCATTGGATAGATCATGTGGTTGTCTTAAAAGACCCATATAATTAGAGTAAAAAGCAACACAAGCCTTGGCACTCAGCTGGGAGACAAAACCACGAAGGGGCTTGGGAAATCTACACGTGAGGGGCTGCTGGGAGGCTAAGGAACAAGTTCCAAGTGCAATAATTCAAGAGACCAAGGGATTTTGGCACGCAAGGAAGGATGCCATCCCTTAAACCAGCAGGCGCACCCATTTTCTTACCTTCATCAGATTTGGCCATGGAAAGAGGAAGAAAGAGGAGAAAGAAGATGGATGAAAATGGAAGCTCTCCTCTAAGGCAGCCACGGGAAGAAGCATTGAGCTCCCAAAAATCTCTGATTTTGTGGGATTGGGCAGAGCTAACTTTGCCACCATGAGGTAAGTCAAGAAGGAAAAGAAGAAAGGGAGAGGAAAGCTTAGCTAGATTGGGAAGAAACCATTAGGGTTTCTTGGAGAAGAACCCTTCCCAGCAGCTATAAATAGGACCCCTTCTACCCAACACAACACAACCCACAACCTTCAGAGAGCAAGCTTCCTCTCTCACATGCAAACCCAGTAATTTTCGTGTTATCCTTGCCCATTTCCTCTATTTCCCCTGTTCTGGCAGATTGGCATAGCTTTGACAGAGTCACCGTCAAGCTGCCGGAAACTGCTAAGATTATCCACAATTCTTCACCATCCTTCTCCCCCTTTATCAAACCTCCTTAGAATCCCTTTCTCTTTCCCTTAGAACCTCTGTCTCTCATAGGAACTCACAGCTCTCTCTCCTCAAGTGCTAAACCCATGATAATTTTGCTCCCATGTCATAATCTTCTCATGCAAAGCTAGAAGATTTATCTGTAATTTGTTGTTGTTTTCATTGGTGAAGGTAGCCAAAGAGTTTCCTAAGGCGTCATCACCCTTTCGAGACATCTTTGAGGCTATAATCTTCAAACTCGGACACAAAGGGGACACTTGCATCAGATTGCTCTTTACAGCAGCCCAACCCACTTGCTGCCGAAAGAAAAAGGCCCCTACAGTTTCAAAAAAAACAAACCAAAATTTTAATTTGACCCTAATTGTCATTATGGTGGTTTTGTTGCTAGCTAGGTCACATTTGCATATGACTCTGTTCTTTAAAGAAATTTTATTGGTCCTTTACGTAATAAATTTTCAACTATAATTTTTATAAAAAAAATTGTCAAATGATTAAAAAAGAGAGCCAAGGAGAGATATTGGTGATGATTATTACTTACAGAAAATAACGTGTTTGCCTTTTTAATTATTATGATTATTAATTGTTGTTAGCAAAAAAACCAAAAAAAAGAACTAAAACTATGATTGATCTACACAAGCGGGTTTTGAAGCCACGTCCTGAATGGAAGTTGAGGCCCTGCAAACCAATACAACTAGAAATGTCTTTGTGTCAAAAATTTGCTCGCTAAGTATATATACACATTTATTAATAAATACATATATTATACACATAAAAAATTTCGGGGGCCCTAAAAAATCAGGGGCCCTGTGCGGTGGCACCACTTGCACACGCTCAGGGCCACCCCTGGGCGTAACCAGAAACTTGTTTGATCCAAGTTGGAAGAGTGAGTTTTCTCTTTCAAATCGAATAGAAAGCTAGCTGTGTGTGTGAGTGAGAGAGAGAGAGAGAGAGAGAACCTGCAAAGATATATTTAGCATAGGTTTTGAAAGGCATTGGCGTTGTTAAGCTAGGCCATCATGGAAAGAAAATGGTGGGGTTTAAGTTTGGAGGTTGGGGAGGCTACTTCGTTAAGGAAAATACCAGAGGGAAGCCATAGTTCACCATCATCCAGATTTGGAGGAAACCCAGCCATTTTAAGCATAAGCCCACCAAACTTCAAACACCCAAAAAAACAAAACAAGAAGAAGCATGGGCTGACCTACGTGGAGGGCAGGCCGCCCAGCTGCCCGACCTATTTTGTGAATTCTCTCTCTCTCTTCTTTATGATCAAACTCTCTTGTGGGCTTTAGTTTTCTATTCTCTCTCTGTTGTGAGCTTCAGTTTCCTATTATATATATATATATATATATATACAGTTATTCTCTTATCCGGATGTCCGCACGTTATTATCGTACGGATCCTATTGTAAACAGGCAGGAAAACAGAGAGGGGTAGTACAAAATACACTGCGTCCGCACGATAATAACGTCCGGATGTCCGCATAAGAGAATTTCTGTATATATATATATATTATATGTCTCTTCATGAATTGAGTTTTTATTCTTCTTATTATTAATTTTTAGAATTTGAAAATGCATTGTATAGTATGAGTTTTGGTTATTTGTTGATAATATATTAATATTTGTGGGTGAGCTTTTGCTATATATATATATATATATATTTGTTGTATTGTATTTATTTGTTTTTTTTATAATCTTTTATTTATGTATGAAGATGCATTTGAGGGTAATGCTTATTACATCTATTGACTAGGTGTATTTTTCTATGTTTATTAATGAAATTCAATTGTATCATCAAGTTTTTAATGTAAATTTCGCTCGACCAGCTTTCGAATCCTAAATCCGCCACTGAAGAAGGAAAAAAAAAAAAAAGGTTCTCTTTGCAAATATGTGGAGCCCTAAAGAAATAGATAAAAGAGAAAATCCAAAAGACAAAGAAATAATTGTTTTTTCTTTTGTCAATAAAATAGAGAAAGATAGAGAAGGAAAAGCCAATTTCAAATTTGAAGCCTCAACAAGCTCAGCCTATGAAGAAGCAGGTGGGTGGGGGTGGGGATGGGGATGGTTGATACCTGGGTGGGAGAGAAAGGGAGAAAGAGATAGAGGAGAGAAAGAGAGAGAGAGAGCGATATTCTTTTTAGTATTTTCTTTATTTTTAGATAATTTTGCCTCAAAAAGATGGTTTTACCCCTTAAACAATAGGACCGTTTTGTTATTAAATGGAGAGTTGAAAGATTATTGAAATGAAAAATTTAGTTCGTAGATCAAAATGAAACTAGAGCAATAATTGAGAGACCATTTCGGTCAAAAACCCTTTTAATATAGAGTGTAGCGATTTTCTGACTGTTTTAGCCATTTGTATTCCAAATGATTATTTTATACAAAATTTCAGTGCAGGTTGCTAAAAAAGCCTGTATTGGTTTTGCACTATATTTTTATATATTTATTTCTTAGGCACTGGATTTTTTGGGCCTCGACAAGTTCTCTTTGTAAATATGTAGAGCCTTGAAGAAATAGAGAAAAGAGAAAACCCAAAAGACAATGAATTTTTTTTTTCTCTGGGTCAATAAAACAAAGAAAGATGGAGAACAAAAAGCCAATTTCAATTTTGAAGGCTCAACAAGCTTAGCCTATGAAGAAGCAGATGGGGAGCCGGTAGTTGGGGGGTGGCGATAGGTTGATATACCCGGGTGGGGGAGAAAGGGAGAAAGAGATAGAGGAGAGAGAGAGAGAGAGCGATATTTTTTTTTCGTATTTTCTTTGCTTTTAGATAATTTTGCCTAAAAAATATGGTCTTATCCCTTAATTTCACAGAATAATTGATAGACTTTGATGGTAGGACTGTTTTGATATCAAATAGAGAGTTAGAGGACTATTGAAATAAAAAATTTAGTTCGTGAATCAAAATAAAACTCGAGCAATAATTGAGAGACCATTTAGATCAAAAACCCTTTTAAATATAGGAAAATGATTTTCCCACTCCTCTTTTATCCACCTACACTCCTTTTTGTTTAGAAACATGGAGTGTAAGTGGATAAAAAGGGAGTGGGAAAATCAGTACCCTTTATAGAGGGATCCGGATCCTCTGCTCTGATTTTCTCTGCCATGATCTACTATACTTTTGTTCTTCATACGCCACATCATTAAAATTTAATCTAACGGATTTAAAAGTTGACACATCATCTTAACAGTTAGTTGGGTGTTAGGGTTTTTTTATTCTTTTTTAATTAGGAGTAAATTGAGTTTTTGTTTTAAGATGATGTGTCAACTTTTAAATCCGTTAGATTAAATTTTAATGATGTGGCGTATGGAGAATAAAAGTATAGCAGATCATGGCAGAGAAAATCAGAGCAGAGGATCCGGATCCTTTATAGAGTGTACGATTTTCTCACTGTTTTAGCCATTTGTATTCCAAATGATTATTTTATACAAAATTTCAGTGCAGGTTGCTTAAAAAGCCTTGTGCACTATATTTTAATATATTTATTTTTCAGCATTAGCACTGAAAATAACTTCATAGTTTTGGACGTATCCATTATTGTTAAGCACCACTAATGGCACTGAATTATTAAAAAGTTCACCCGTGACTCTCAAGATGTGAAACTGTCTGGCCGACACAAGACAATTCTTTGTTTGTATTCTTGAGGAATGGCCAATAAAAACCCACTTGTTTAATGTGAGTTTTCCTCTAGAAAATGACTGATTTGAGCTTTATGAATTCTTAAGGTATCTTTTTTCCTTCTGAAACAACAATGCTTGCTTCATATTATTTCTGGTGCGGCATATTTAATCCTCTACCTACTTGTGTTCTTTTACTACCTTTGGAGAGAGCATATGAGCTCCCGTGAACCATTCAGAAACGCAAGCATTTTCACATGTCACTTTCTCTGGGTTTGTGTCTTCGAGGAAAATATTTAGCTCTTTCATTATAAGGAAACTTTTATTTTAATTTAACACTTAATGAGGTAAATATTTGTGTGTATGTGTGTGTTAGGCTCTAATTGTTTTGCATTTGGGGAATGAACCGAAAAGGAGCCGTGCAATGTTCATCTCCGAGGGCTTCACCTTATGATAGCTAGCGTGTTAGTAAGTTAATACGATATTAACTACTTGTTTGGATTCACTATATAATGTCATATCACGATTGGAACTATCAATTTTTAGGTTATCATTTCAATATCATCATTGCAAATAATTAACCAAATCAGAAATCGTTTAATTATTTAATTATTATCGTGAAAATTTTCATTGTTCATAGAGAATTGTGTTCATCTTAGATAATTAGATGTTTGATTTGATTAATCCTTCAGATCTACTTGACAGAATTACACCCACCAGAAGAACATGACTCACGAACAGCAATAGATGCTAGGGTTGACAAATTGGAATTCCTTATAAATTATTATTATTATTATTTTCTAGTGAAGAATTAATGAAACATAATGTAAATTTCTTTTCCTTTGATATGTTTGTGTCAGTTTCTGACGTAAAAAGCAAAATGCAGACCTGACACTTCCTTGGAATTATCAGGCACTCGTTCTACCACACACGTATAAACATTTACTAAATTATTTCAGGGTTTTTATTTTATTTTTATTTTTTTGAGAAATATTTCAGGGTTTCATTGTTGCATGATCTTATTTTGCTTTGGCCTTTGGGTCATGCAGAAAGTTCGCAACTTCAATGCGCCATTACTACTACTTTTGAGGAATTTCCCAATTTATTGATCTGCCAAGAAGGACAGTGATTAATTTCTTTTGGTCAAATTGCATTTGATCTCTTTTATTTTAATTATGATAATTTTAGTTTCGTAATTTTGTTTGTATAACAATCAAGTCATGCAAATATAAAATTATTAAGAAAAATAACAAAATTATTACTTTTTGGGTTGATTGGAAATATTTTTAGAGACAGAAATGTCATCACATGTGAATTGGAAATACTTTTAATTCGAAATTATTATTAAATGGAGTTTCAGTAGTTACAGGTTCAAACTTCGATGACATCTTTGTAGTGTGTGTGAGAAATCTTCATCCTCTTATAATTTACACTATTAATTGTATTAAAAAAACATTAAAATAAAAAATAAGTCGAATTATAGAAGAAAAAAATGTCATTCAATTGACAGTGCACTAAATAATTTGGTTATCTACTTCATGTGAACTGCATGGACCACGTAGTACAGTGCTCATGTACTAACTTATTTGGTGTTTCATGTTCAATTTTTTGAGGTGGATAGAGGAGAGGGCAAATCAGTTGTGTTAGGTAGAAAACTTTTCATGAGATCAAGTGGTTTTAATTCTTGTGGAGTAAAGAAGCCCTATGATTTTAGACCTAACTGGTTCTGTAGTTTGTAAGGAACTAGGTGGTACGGAAGTATTTTCCATAATTAGCACACTAAGTTTGTTGGGTTCAGAAGTTTAATTAGTAAACATAACCCAAAGAGAGAAAATAAAAGAAAAAGTTGGAAAATAAATTGAAGGATAGATTTTGAAGGGCTAAGTCGGTTTGGTGCAACTGAAAATGTCATCATATTTTTGCTAGCAAAATCTGGTTCTCATTCCCCCAAAAGCTAAGTTTTAAGCCTTCCTAGAAGAAGTGAAGCAGAGAAAGAAGGTGAGACATAGATTCATCTATTGAGTGTTGTTTCTGCAACTTGGGTTTTGTTAATGGTTCTAATGGCAAAGCTAGTTTGCCATTCACATCTTCTTCTGCTCATCATAGTTTTCCTCTCTCTCCATCCTTCAAGCCAGCTACAACAACACACTCAGTCACAAACCCTTCTGAAGATCCAGCAGCTTCTCAACTACCCATCGGCCTTAACCAGCTTCAGCCATAGAAGCAACACCAGAGACTTCTGCAAAATTGAACCAACCCCATCTTTGACTCTATCCTGTTATGAAGGCAACATAACCCAGCTGCACATTATTGGCAACAATGGGTTTCCTCCACTGCCTCGTGATTTCTCAGCAGACTATTTCTTTGCCACACTTGTTGGCTTACGAAGCTTGAAAGTGCTTTCACTGGTTTCTCTTGGTTTATGGGGGCCAATGCCTGCAAGTATTGGGCATTTGTCTTCACTGGAGATTCTCAATGTAAGCACAAATTACTTAAGTGGTACAGTTCCTCTCCAACTTTCATATCTGAGGAACCTTCAGACTCTCATGCTTGACCATAACAAGTTCACTGGTCAAGTTCCAGGTTGGCTGAGTTCACTTCCAGTCTTGGCTGTTCTCAGTTTGAAAAACAATATGCTTAATGGGTCTTTGCCATATTCTTTGGCATCTTTACAAACTCTCAGAGTTCTCTGCCTATCAAGTAACTTCTTGTCAGGGGAAGTGCCTGATCTCAGAAACTTGACAAACTTGCAAGTTCTTGATTTGGAAGACAACTATTTCGGGCCTCATCTTCCAAATATGCCTTCCAAGTTGGTCACCCTTGTGCTAAGAAAGAACAAGTTTCGCTTGGGAATCCAGACTGCATTAGGCTCCTGCTATCAGCTCCAGAAGCTAGACATTTCATTGAATGGATTTGTAGGGCCATTTTTGTCATCATGGTTGTTACTGCCTTCCATTAAATATCTTGACATTGCTGGAAATAAACTCACTGGATTTCTCTTTAAGAACATGACTTGCAATTCTGAGCTTGCTTTTGTCAATTTATCCTCAAATCTTTTGTCAGGGGATTTGCCCACTTGTCTGAAAAAGGATTCTAAGAGCAGGGTTGTTATGTATTCTGGGAATTGTTTAGCAGATGAAGATCAGAAGCAGCACCCTTCTTACTTGTGCCACAATGAAGCTCTGGCTGTGCAAATACCACCTCCTAGTGAGGAAAAGCATAGGAGAACTTATGGTAAACAAGTTGTTGCATCAAGTGCAGTGGGAGGTATTGTGGGTGCAATTGCAGTTGTTGGTTTAGCTTTCATGGCCGCTAAGAAGTTTTATAGTGAGCACACTACTAAGACTCCCCAAATAAGGTTAATTGCAGATACAGTCTCAGCAGTGAACACAGCTAAGCTACTCTCTGATGCAAGTAAGTTTAAATTTTCTACGTTTTTCTTTTTTTTATAGTTGTTCCTTTTGGTACCAACTTGTTGTTGCTTCTGTTTAACGTATGGGGATCAAGGCTGATTTTGCGAAGAAAAGAAAAGAAAAAGGGAACTTGCTGTATAGATTAGCAACCATTTCCATGTGACCTTTTTTTATTATTTGAGTAGCATGAAGGTTGAGATTTCCATAGAAGTCCAGGAACTAGACTGATGTATGTTTCCAGAAAATTCCAGGAAGAACTACTAATTATAGAAAATAGTTTCCATAAACTATATTGCTACCCCAAAAAGACATTTTAGTTTATTTAGAGTCTTTAGGTTCGAACTAAGATAGAGAGAATTTTATTTTATTGTACTACCAATTCCTTATAGTCTTCCTTGGATATTCTGATATTCAGAAATATGGAGAATATGGTAAATCTTGTTCAGGTCCCTGCGCTTCGGTTTCAAATAGCGTGTTACAATTCGTGAATCTTTCATTTTTGCTATAATGATAAACTCTACAATTCTGGCTTATACATCCAGGAAAGCAATTTTTCTTGCTCAAATTGACTGCTCAAAATTTTATTCTTATTAAAACCCCAGGCACCACTTCATTCAAATTGGCAGTAGGTAAATAAATTAGCATCACTATTCCTTTTATAATAAGTCATAACACTAGAATCCTTTCTTTGCAGAATACATATCAGACACAATGAAGCTGGGAGCTAGCCTTCCTGCTTATAGAACTTTTGCTTTGGAGGATCTCCAGGAAGCCACCCATAACTTTGATGATTCAACATTACTAGGTGAAGGTTCACATGGACAGGTATTCATTCTTTATAGTTGCAAAACAATTCTAACTAATTCAGTACCTCGTAGTAGTAATATGATGTTCTCTCTTAATTTGCACCTGCTTTCACATTTTATGTTTCTTGCTTATATAATTCCATCCATTTGGATATGCGAAAGATCCTTTGTGGATTGAAGAACCTCAGATAAGAGACTCAATCTATACGTAGATGGTAGGTGCCCCTGTGAGTCTAGGTTCTTGATTTTCATCTAGTCTCCAGTTCTTGGTACACAATTGAAGAACTACATAGTTGAAGCAACTTAAATACGCACACTGACAAATGTATGTGTGTATGAATGTGTATATAGATTTAGTAATCTCTATTTAATTTAGAGTTCATACTCCTCAAAAGCGTGATGTAAATAGATTTAGGAATTACTTTGTAGAACTTCTGATATGCTTAAAATGTGAGACTTCTCCATCTTAAAGAAGCTTCTGTTGAGTAAAGATTCCCTTTAAAACTCCAAGGTGGCCTCACATTTAATGAAAAAAGAGTAGAAATTGAAAGAGAACAAAAGAATCCTTTGAGTTTTGTTTAATTTGAATCAAACTTTCAACGATTGGATCGGATCCAAATCTGAAATGGTAATGGGAATTTTTCAAGGGCTGGTGAAACTCTGCTCGTTCTGAGAAGATACTCATTGATGCTATACCATCAGATAGATCTTATGCATATTGCAATGGTTCGCGGAAAGTCTACTATAAATGTTAAAGTGGTCCACTACTTATCATTTGAATTTGTACAAGAATTTGGAATCTCTTTGTTCTAGTTAATTGTCCTATGCACTATTGACTGATATACTTTGTTCAAGAAATCCTTGAGGGTTTTCAGCATGCAATTTTCTCACTGTTACTGGTTCAAAATAAAATAACAATGCCAGATATATAGAGGGAAGCTCCCTGATGGAACCTTTGTTGCTATAAGAGGCTTGAAAATGAGAAAGAGGCAGAGTCCACAGGTCTACACACACCTCCTTGAGCAGATTTCAAAACTGAGACATAGCCATTTGGTTAGCGCTCTTGGACATTGCTTGGAGTGCCATCCAGATGATTCAGGCGTCAGTAGAATATTTCTTATATTTGAGTTTGTTCCAAATGGAACTCTCAGAGGCTGCATCTCTGGTAAAGTTCTTTTCATGTACTTACACTGCTAACTAGAACAAATGGATCGCATTTGCAAATGACCTTATAGTTTATTCCATGAAGATATATAGACCGTGCTCCTACTCTGAGCTTGTTATATGAGCCATTTGTTTGCTATTCAGAGAGAGTGATTGCAGATTCAGATGTTATCGCATACTCTACACGTAACGCATATGAAACGAAGATGAATCAATCAAGTTATTGTTTAAAGTAATCTATAATATCTAATGCATCAAGTGCCGAATTTATCAACAATATTTCTTATTTTTAGAAGATTTCTAGGTGAGACCTATTCAATTGCTCAACATTGCATAGTACAGGTTGCAATGGAGAGTAAAATCCCCCTCATTACTTTCTTCTTCTTCTTCTTCTTCTTCTTCTTCTTCTTCTTCTTCTTTTTCTTTGATTGATTTCCTCCCTCACTGTCTTAGCTTTTTCAGCAATTGAATATTCATTGCTAACACTTAGTTTGGCAGAAGGACCTCCAGGACGGAAGCTTACCTGGCCGCAGAGAATAATAGCTGCAATTGGAGTTGCAAAGGGTATTCAGTTTCTGCATACCGGGATTGTTCCTGGTGTTAAATCAAATAATCTGAGGATAAAAAATGTCTTATTGGATCACGATCTTCATGTAAAAATAAGCAGCTATAACCTACCTCTTTTGGCTGAAAGCAGGGGAACGGTAAGACATAAAAAATATATATCTGTTTGGGTGAATGCATCACCCTTGAGATTGTCCTGACTTAACTTTTGCTTTTTAATCCTTCAGATGGGCACTACAGTTTCTTCTCCGGCACCAAAAGGAAGCATTCAAGCTAGGTACTAACATGCTTACTTTCCCAAAATCATACGCTACTTTTCTGAACTGAATTCCCTTTTCATATTCATACACAAATGAACAAGACCAATAATTTCAACTATCTAGACAAATCCTGCATGAATCTCTTGTACAACAAAATTATAAATTACTCCCTTCCGGTTCAGTTACTGATCATCAGTAGTAACAAGGGACCATCCTAAATGAAGTTCATCGTCATTGAATCTACATCTTGCTTCACAGAAATGCATTCCTTAGTCATCTCTCGTTTATTGTTTGGTTAAGCCGTACATTGTCATTGGCAGTGCAAAATGCCAACAATACTTTGTTTCACTATCTCACAAAACTTAACTTTTAAATCTTTTTTTATTTATTTTTGCATACTTTGTACATTGGTGATAGTTTCATAAGCAATTCCTGACCCAGTTTTCCCTTTCAATACAGAAAATAGATCCAATTGAAAGAAGTGGAAGATTAGATTTTTCCTGCACCATGTTTTTACTCATATGCTTGGGATTACATTCTTTATATTTATACTATTTATCTTGATCCTTCATATTCTGAAAAAATATCCATGTGAGGCTCCTGGAAACCTGAATAATGCCTTCTTCAGTAATTCTTTCACAAAATGATGCTAGTTATTATTCAGAGAATGCATGTGTAACTATGCCCTAAACGCATCTATGCATACAAGTACACAACACATGCACACATACTGGGATTGCTTTGTTAATTGCTGGTCTTTTGCAGGGCAAGCCATGAGTGTAAGAATGATGTTTATGATATTGGAGTCATCTTGCTGGAAATCATTTTGGGGAGGCCTATCATGTTCCAAAATGAAGTTGGAGTTTTGAAAGACCTTGTGAGTGTTTTCTCGTAATCAATTGGTTCCCTTTGTTTACTCTAAAACTCTTACATTAAGATTAGGTTGCTACTACTTCCCAGTTAGAAAAGTTTGGAAAATTAGATCCTGCAAAGACCAAAAAATTGCAAAGAACATATGCCCCTAGCTAAGCCCAACTTTTGTTTCATTACTGAGTACTGACAGAACTGAAACACCCTGAAACATAAAATTTTATTTCGCCGACTAAACTAGCAATTTGGTTTTGGTTCTTATGAAGTTACAAGTAAGTTTAACGACTGATGACACGGGTCGAAGGAGCATTGTCGATCCAGCAGTGCACAAGGAGTGCTCCGATGAATCATTGAAGACAATGATGGAGATATGTGTGAGGTGTCTGTCCAATGAGCCAACTGATAGGCCTTCTGTTGACGATATTCTGTGGAATTTGCAGTTTGCAGCACAAGTTCAGGATTCAGTAAGAGAAGACTATCTGAGTCATCAAGGCTCACCTGTTTCATCATCCCAACAAGTCTGACTTCCAACTTGCTAACTTTCCCTGAATTAGAAGTTAGCAGGGCCAGTATATGTAATGTACCATACAAGATGTATGCACGTTGTCATATCTTATACTGTATTCTTGATATGTTAATGAAATTCATTTTCTAAAAAACAAAAAAAAACGGTCCACAAGGTTTTAATTCCTTTTTCTTTTTAAAAATGTTTAGTTACTTTGTATAGTTATTTTATTTAGTTATGTTTATTTTCACCTCATGATGAGCTCCAGGGTCCCACAACAAGCCCCACCAAAATTTTGATTGACTGTGTGACGTTTCTGCTCTTAATGCTTGGAATTAAATGTGGTTGGTCAAAACACTGCCTTACTCTGTCTAATCTTGTATTTGGAGATGGATAAATTGGGTACCAAATGAACTTTCTTTGCAGTTCCAGACCATTTATTGCCCTATGAAATACTGTATATGAGGTGGTATTCTTTGTCTAGTAGTTCTTATACTGTATATGCTTTCATACGTGTAGCGATTTTGGCATTCGTTTAGCTTCTGCCGCTCCAAACTATGAAATTTATAATTTTTATGCACACAAAGGGATTGCAATGAGTTAAACTAGGAGTGTGATGTAACCCATTTTTAGTAGGCCTAATTGCCTTCTTTGAAAAGAATCCATGCATCCGATGTCCTGAGTTTAATTCCCCCTCTTCGCCTCCCCCAATGTTACGATATTGATCTAAAATCCAAAATTGACACAGGCTGATCAATGAATTGTATGTACTTGGAGTTTATTCAAATCAGACTCAAGATTTTATTGTTATGGACAATCACTGACATTTCTTCATACTTTTACCTCCCATGATGGAGTACTTATGGGGGCTATGGATGTTCACATTGCAATATGAATACTTGATACATGTTAGAGGGCTTGGAAAAATACATAAAATACAAAAAGTTTCACACGTGAGAGAGATCAATCCTACAAAATTTATGAAGGAAAAAAAAAACAAAGAGTTAGTATCTCAACGGCTGTGGGCTGCGGATTAAGAAAACTGTACCTTCAGCCGCAGAGTCACATTTCTACCTTCCGAATATTAAACTCTCCTCCATGGAATCGTTCCCTTTTATTTGTCACCATGGTCTTGGATTAAATTGAGATACATATACCGTGTTATGTATGACTTGGTTGTTAAGAATTCAATTTGCCATCTGTTATAGAACCAAACCTTATACAACAATCTTGATGGCTGGCTACTCCCTCTTTGTTCAAGAGAAAAGCTAAAGAATGCCTGAAAATTGTCTCAACTAGCTTCTGCCTTATTCCTCCACAATCAAATTAAGCTTAGAATGTAGACATGATAAGCATTCACTCCTGATTTTACTGAACAAAGACTGGGATATCAGTAGACAAACCTCAAACATAACTCTGTATATCAAACTCAATCAGCACCTTTACATGGTCACCTGGAACAATTGAGAGTGTGAGTGAGCTGCTGGGTTTGCTTGTAAAACTCGATCAGCATTCAGTGTTTGGGATTTAGTGCCTGATTTCTTTTGGAAAGCTTTAAAAATACCACCTCTAAGTATAGGTGCATTCTTATCAGGTTTGATACACAAGGTAGACCATATAGAACTCTTTGCAGCCTCATCTGGGTCATCAATTCTCAATGACTTGGGTACCCAAAGGCACTGTTTGTTTTTATTCCTGCCTGTACATTTGCATCTCTAGAATATTTTCCCGATCTTGGCGAGCTATTGTCTGAACATCTGCTGTTGCCATTGGAAGATGAAGGTGACAAGCTGCCAGCAGATCCAACCAATTGAGCATTCCATTTTCTAGCATCCGAGCTTGGCATGTAACCCTGGTATGAGGAAGGTGCAATTGGGAAAATGAAACTGGGAATACAAAAACCAGGAACTGTAACCATAGGCAGAGAACCCATATGAGAAGGATTAGGATTATTGCTATGAGGTCCAAACATCATGCTGCCCCAACTTGGGTTCTCAGCCCATTGTGGAACAGGAAAATATTGCTCAGTATATGTAAGATTATAATCGTTTCCATATCTTGGCAGATCAACCTGCTCCATTTCTTTTCCCAGGCATGCATTTTGCTGTGAAGTAGTGGCTGTCAAGGAAGAGCTGGATGATGAGGGCTCCTCACTATTATCCCCAGCGGCTGCAGAGCCATCTTCAGAACTTCTCTTCTGGTCTTTATGATCAAGTGCAGTCGCTATAGATTCAACTAAAACTGTATCTGTGCCAGAATTTAAGACTTCCCTCATCCTATTGACAGGTTTTGGAGAGGCAGGAAGTTGAACAGGCGACAGATGCTGTTGGCCAACAAAGTTAAGGGTGTCTCCTTGGGTGACTGGTACTGCACTCGGTTCGCCCACAACCTGATGATACTGTGAAGATGAATGCTTATTCCTGTGCCGCCTAGTCCCTAAAGGAAGATTTCTTATTGTTCCCCCGGCTGTCCAATATCTTCGGCAGCTCTTGCAAAAGTGCCTCGGTTGGTATACACTATAATTATTAAAATAGCAAAACTTTGTTTTTAAGCTGTTGCAGCGAGGGCAAGGAAGAACCTTGTCTGGCTTTGTGAAAGCCTTTTCTTTGCCATCATCAGTATCACTTGCAATGCAGTCTTCTTCTGGATTACAATCAACTTCACCCTCATTCTCCAAGAATTGACCATGGTGATTGTTTTCACTGCCTTTATCTAGTTCGAAAAATTGATCTTGCTTGCAGGATACTTTCACAGAAGGGTCCTCCATTTCTCTACACTCACCCTGAAAATTGAAAATTTTGATTGTTTATGGCACTCAAAACGCAATAACAGCAAGTTATAGTTAATTCACAGCATGTACAACAAGGAATTCGGCATCAAAGATGAGCAATAACATCAATTACATGCATTAATAAAAATTAAGTTCATGGCCAAGAAAAAGCTAAAAACAAATGATAGTTACAAAATGAAGCTGCAGCCACATGCCCAGATACAATATACCAAGTTACAATCTATATAAATCTCCTCACATCATCCACACATTATCAAATTATGATTTCCAAAATAACTAATCACGAATGAGAAACAAAAACAAAATGTGGGTTCATGCTGATTTTTATTGATGGGAGGAAATTTGGTTGAAATCTTTCTATAAGCTGCCCCTTCTGCTTGTAAAGCAAATCCAGCAAAACTTTATGGCATTTAACATTTTAAGTACTATGAAGGAAGAACACAGGGTCCTGAAATTCAAAACATAGCAATTTAAAAGCTAAACAAAGCAGTCAGTTATATGTGATTTTCTACAAAATAGAAAAAGAATATTGCAGAGCAGTAGAAGCCCAGATACCAAAAATGGAAACAGAGTAGAAAAAAGGAAAAAACGCAAAGACTTGTTAAGAAAACAAAATAAAGCAACCCAAAGAAGCTTAGAATGGATTGGCATATGAAGCTTACCATGGCAGCTTTGGGCATATCTGCAACCCAACATACTTCGTTGGAATTATGTACGGACATATCCGGAATCTGGCGTTCCGGCACCAGAATATTCCTCCCGAAGAGCTTAATGGCTGGATCTCTCATTGCAGACATTGCCTCAGGTTGGACTCGCAGAGTCACAGTATGACAAAAAGCTCCAAATGAAACAGCAAGACGCAGTAAAACTTACTGGAAACGGGATAGCAAAACATCTTGGCTAACCGTTACATGAAAGTGTTCTATGGGAGAAAGAGAGAGAGAGGTTTTTCTCTCTGTCGGCTGCTGCTACAGTAGCTCCTTGCTACGGGCTGTCTTTACGACCCCTTGGCCATCTCCTTCGTCCCTGGTGGCTGGCTGAGATGCCAGATTTTGCTTTCAAAGCAGGAGTGAGTGGATCTACTTCAGATGGCCCTATCACTGTTGAGAAGAGAGCTCGAACACAGGAAATGGCTGATGTTGGTGGATCTGAGTCCCCTGAACCTCCCCTTGCTCTGCCTCCGTTTTCGATGAGCTTCAAAGATTAGGTATCAAGGGATTTTGGATTGGCCCAAGACAACTTCGGTTTTGGGGAAGATGATTTTGTAATAAAAAATGGACAAATTCCATCAATTGATTTTTCTGAGAAGGTGAAAGACTGCCTCTACAGACCTTGGCGGACATCAGTGATTATTAAGCTCATGGGTCGCCCATTGAGCTATACTTTTTTGCGGAATCGTCTCCTTCAACGTTGGGCTCTAAAGGGTCCGAAGAGTCTCATCGACCTGGACAATAATTTTTTCATTGTGAAATTCTTATTAGAGGAGGATATGAATTATGTGCTTACTGGAGGACCATGGCAAATTGCTGGCCAGTATTTGGCTACTCAAAGGTGGAAGCCTGGTTTCAATCCTAAAGAGGAACGGATCACCCATATGACTGCTTGGGGTTCGGATTAATGGGTTAAATGTGGAATATTTCAGAACAGATATAATGGAAAAAATTGGCAATCTTGTTGGCCAAACTGTGAAAGTGGATGCCCGTAGCCAGAGGTAAATTTGCTCGGGTATGTGTTGAACTTAATCTCTCTAAGCCTCTCACTCCTTTTATAGTTGTTGAAGGGCGTACTTATGGGGTTGTTTATGAAGGAATTCAATTGGTATGTTTTGAATGTGGCTGTTATGGCCATGGTAGAGATTCATGCCCTGTTATCATACAAGCAAAAAGGCAAGAAACTGAATCAGCAAATACTGAAAGCATGGAGGAGAATACAACAGCAGTTTCAGAAAATAATGAGAGTAAGGAGGAGACTACTCCAGTCAAGCAAATTGGTGTGGATAGTATTAGTCCTGAAAACTTAGTTGCTGAAAATCCAACTAAGATACATGGTCAATGGATGTTAATGAAGCCAAAGAGTCTCACAAAGAAGAATCCTAGCGATCAGGGACAAGGTGCAGATACTAGAAAGAAAAACTCTAAGCTTGATGGCAATGAGCCCAATCATGGTGCTTCTGGATCCAGATTTTCTGTGTTGGATAATGGAGATAATAATGATATGGCAGTTGAGGAGCCTGTTGCTGCAACCTCTTCTCCTTCTGCAGACCAAAAGGCAAGCATGAGGACTGGCCCTAAAACTGGGCTCAACCTCCTTTCCAACCAGCAAATTCTAAGATGAGTGGCTCAGGTAAACATGCCTTGGCTAGTCGAGACTCGAAAGGTGGGATGTCTTTAAGAAACCTCTCAAAGACATCTCTAACCAAGACACTCTTGGGGGTGATGGCAAGCCACCCAGCTCTGGTACTTGGGGACACCTGAAGAACAAATTTGGAGCTAGGCCTCTTACTGTTGCTGGTCTTTGCTCGGTGGGGATGCAGGTTCCTGGAGCTGATGTTCAGGATGATATTGCAGGAAAATTTTCCTTTAATGTGGCAAACCCTTTTACTGAAAACCTACTGGACAAGGATGCCAATCTTTCTGTACATATACCTCCAGACACTGGGAACAATGTTCCAAAATCTTATGAGTCTTCTCCTCCTTTACTATCTTGTGACACTATGGAGATCAGTGAGGAACAAATTGTTAATGATTCTCATGATGTTGGTATGGGGGCTGGTCTGTCTGTTGTTAATGATGCTCCCCGTTTGTGTGGAGCTCAGCAAGGTGATTGTTAAGGGTCTTCCTTGGTCTTGCCCCACCAACTTTTTATCCAATGATTATTGTCTCTTGGAATGTTAGGGGTGCTGGAAAAACTGAATGTGCTTGTACTATCAAGGATTTAAAGAAGATATATTCTATTGATGTTCTTGCTGTTTTAGAGCCTAGAATCGGTGGCTCTAGGGCTCTTAATATTGCTAAAAGTTTGGGTTTCTCTTGTTATCATATTGTTGATGCCACTGGTTTCTCAAGAGGAGTCTGGTTGCTTTGGAATGGTCTCTCTATTTCTCTGCAGGTTATCGCTCATTCCAGCCAGACTATCTCAGCCTTGGTAACTATGGATGAAGGTTCTTGGATCCTCACTGTTGTTTATGCTAATCCATGCTCGGGCACTAGAGAATCTCTCTGGAAATATTTAGATGGTCTGGCTTCTGCTTCTAATCTGCCTTGGTTGATCCTTGGGGATTTTAATGATACTGTGTGTGCTTCTGAAAAATGTGGGGGTCTTCCCAGCTTTGGTGGCCAACACTTCATTGATTGGATTGATCGTAATCATCTGGTTGACTTGGGTTTTTCTGGGCCTAAGTTTACTTGGTGCAACAAGAGGAACTTGGAAAATCTTATATGGAAGAGACTGGACAGAGGTCTTAGTAACACTGCTTAGACTCTTCTTTTTCCTGAGGCTCACCTCTCTCATCTGCCGAAAATTAACTCTGATCACTGCCCTATTTTGGTCAACTTATTCTCTCACCATGTACCTTCTAGAGATTTTGCACCGTTCCGTTTCCAAGCTATGTGGTTAAGCCACCCCAATTTTACTGATTTTATTACTGACCTTTGGCAGTCGGGGCAAGGTCATGCAGCCCAAAAAACTGCTAGTCTTGTTGTCCCTTTACATGCTTGGAATAAACATGTTTTTGGTTGTTTATTTCAAAAGAAAAGAAGAATAATGACTAGACTTGCTGGTATTCAAAGGAACCTCTGTTTGGGTGCTGATATCTATCTCAGTAAGCTTGAGTCTGAACTATTGAAAACGTACAACACTATTCTTGAACAGGAAGAATTGCTATGGCTCCAGAAATCGAGAAATACTTGGCTTAAGGAAGGGGATAGAAACACCAAATTCTTTCATTTGTCAACTATTATCCGTCGGAGGAGAAACAAACTTGAGGGATTGAATAACGCTGATGGTGTGTGGATCACTGAAAAATCTGGAATGAAACAAATTATTACTGATTATTTCCAAGACCTTTTCTGTGGAATTACCGAGATTGGTGATTATTCTTTGTTACCGCAGTTATTCCCGAAGCTTGATGAAACTGTTTTGGTGGGTTTGAATGATCCTGTCTCTGATATTGAAATAAAAGACAGCTTGTTTACTATTGGTGGCTTAAAAACTCCTGGTCCTGATGGTTTTCCTGCGGTGTTCTATCAAACTTATTGGGACCTTTGTTCTAATGACATCACTTCCCTCATTAAGGATTGTTTTGCTACTGCCTCGCTTCCTGACCATTTGAATTCTACCCTAATTGCCTTGGTCCCTAAAGTTGAAAGACCTGAGACTATGTCTCAACTGAGGCCTATTAGTTTGTGTAACACTCTCTACAAGGTGGTCTCCAAGATCCTCGTTGCCAGGCTCAGACCTCTTATGTCCAAATTGGTTAGCCCCACCCAAGTGAGTTTCGTTCCCGGAAGGCAAATTGTTGATAATATTGTTGTTGCACAGGAAGTCTTGCATAAATTCAAAATGACGAAAGGAAAAACTGGTTTCATTGCCTGGAAAGTTGATCTCTCCAAGGCTTATGATCGTCTAAGTTGGAGGTTTATCAAAGATGTGTTGTGGGAGATCGGTTTGAGAGGCAGATTCCTTGAGTTAATAATGCAATGTATCAACTCTGTGGATTATAAAGCTATCCTTAATGGTGAATTAATAGCTGCTTTCTCTCCTACTTGTGGCATTCGTCAAGGAGATCCTCTCTCTCCCTACATTTTTGTCTTATGCATGGAAAAGCTTTCTCATATCATCCAAAAGAAGATTCATGACCACGACTGGAAGCCTATTCAGGTTAGTCGGGGTGGACCCTTTGTTTCCCACCTTTTCTTTGCTGATGACCTTATTTTGTTTGGAAAAGCATCCATTAATCAAGCTCTTTTAATGAAGAACTGCTTGGATGAGTTTTGTCATCTCTCTGGCCAAAGTGTGAGCTTTGAAAAGTCTGTTATTTGTGTCTCTCCTAACGTTTCTGCTGAGTTGGCTCATTCTATTGCTGCCATTAGCGGGTCCCCCCTTACCGATTGTCTTGGTAAGTACCTTGGAGTCCCTCTTATCCATAAAAGAGTTACTAAAGACACTTATCATGAGATTCTTGATAAAGTCCAGAAAAGGCTCTCTTCCTGGAAGAGTCATGTAAGACCCGTGTCTTGGAGAAACAAGAACGGTGAGCAATCCCACATCGCTCGGGGAGGGAAAGGTGAAGTGCTTTAAATGTGTGGACACTTCTCTTCCTAGCACGAGGCCTTTTGGGAGCTCACTGGCTTCGGATTCTTAGGAACTCCGAAGTTAAGCGAGTTGGGGGCTAGAGCAGTCCCAGGATGGCTGACCCACTGGGAAGTTGCTCGTGAGCTCCCAGAAACAAAACCATGAGGGCAGAGGAGGGGGGGCCCAAAGCGGACAATATCGTGCTAGGGGAGTCGGGTCGTGACAAGTCACACTCTATCCATGGCTGGCAGAATCACCTTAGTGCAATCTGTCACCTCAGCCATCCTTATCTACATTATGCAAACTGCTCAATTGCCTATGTCGGTGTGTAACAAGCTTGACCAGTTGAACCGGAACTTTTTTTGGGGTCATACTGATGATAAGGCCAAGGTTCACTTAGTCAATTGGAAGACGGTTTGTAAACCAAAAGCCACTGGTGGTTTGGGTCTTAAAAGTGTTGCCTTGATGAATAAGGCCTTATTGGCTAAAAATGCTTGGAGACTGCATCAAGATGATCATGGTCTCTGGGCTCAAGTGTTAAAAGCCAAATATCTTAGGAATTGTGATATTCTGGCTGCCAATGATAGCTATACTTCTTGTAGCTCTAGTGCGTGGAGGGGTATCCTTTATGGTGCCCAGATTATTCTGCATGGTACCAAATGGAGGGTGGGTTCTGGTGATAATATCATATTCTGGACTGATAATTGGCTTAGCTGTGGGGCTTTGATCCAATATGCTACTATTGACATTTCTGAAGATATGCTTCTTCTAAAGGTTAGTGACTATTTTGCAGATAACACTTGGAATGTTAATTGCTTACTGGAGCGTCTGCCTGCTCATATTGTTCACTTGATTCTTTGTGTGCATGCTGGTTTTCAAGAGAGTGGTCCTGATAGATGCATCTGGAAACTCACTACTAATGGTAAGTTTTCTGTTAAAACAGCCTATGACATTTCCACCATTGATGATGATCCTTTGACGTGGTCTTGGAATTTTATTTGGAAGCTTCACATACCTATTAGAATTAAAACCTTTCTTTGGGTTCTTTGTCATAAGAAACTTCTTACCAATGTTCAAAGACAGAAGAGGGGGATTGGTCAAGACACTTCCTGTCCGAGGTGCTCCTCTCAAGTGGAATCCCTTGATCATCTGTTTATTGATTGCAGTACTACTCAATTAATTGGGAAGGATTTTTGGGAGGATGTTGAGGCTCCTAATTTCTCAATGATTGACTTTGATTCTTGGCTTCTTAAAAACTTAAAATCCCACAGAACCTTTCATAGTATTCCTTGGTCGTTGGTCTTCACAGTTTATCTCTGGTTTGTTTGGAAATGGCGTTGTAAGGTGGTCTTTGAGCAAAATTTTTTGACTCCGCCTAACTCTCGTCAAATAATTCTGAATTATGCTATGGATTGGTTTACTGTTTGTAATTATACTCCTGATCTTGGTGTG